TTGGAAGACAACACCATACACATAGTGATGTGGTAACTGTGATGATACATGCAATCAGTATGTACAAACACCAACTAAACACACATTGTAAAAATGGCGTTTTTCAATCATCAGGCTAGGACCAAATACATGATTGAAATGTGATTTCACATGTAATTGAATGCAGCGGATACATAAACTAGAACCCTAGTTGAAATCTTACACCCTGAGAGGGCGTGTCACCGAATCAATAACCAAAATTTAGCCATCAACGAATGCGACTTTGAGCGAACCTTGATTGACGTGAGACAGCAGTGGCACACAGTGACTGTAGTTTTGCACACAACGAAAACAAAAAGCTATTACGTTAAAAAACAATAAAAATATATTATTGGCATTGTTAATATAATATTGTTTTATTGTATTATCCATATGTAACTCTCATATGTTTCATAAATAAACGATGATTTTAAATGTTGTATACACTCTGATGTTGAAATGTGACCCCCGATAAGTTCTTTATTCTTAATTGTTTTTGGCTTGGAAATAGTGAACATTACGTCTAGACGTGATTACTTGCCTACCCTTGGGGGTCTACACGTTGTTTAACATATTATTGCACCTTAATGGTTATCGAGTTCAATAGAATGATACTTCGTACTTTTGGCTATTTAGATAAACTTACAATCTTATAATAGTAAATACAAATGTCAAATATCCGTTCATACACTCTCAATGAATGCAATAGTCATGAACAGAATCGGAAACAACGTTAAATGAGTTGCCGAAAATGCAAAGAAGGTGTCGTTTTCATATAGAATGCCTGTCTGTAATGAAGGGTTATCCCGCATAAATCATTCTAGGGGATTCTTTGTTGAAATGCATTGTATGCATCGATGTTACACAGAATAGATCGATACAAGGTTTAACGATGTGCCGGTGTCAGCAGGGAGCACACTAAAAAGGATTATGGCTTTTAATGGATGTTTTGGAATCATGTATATAGATGAACATTTGTAAATGGTGATATAAAACAGGCTATTTAGTACAACTTTACAGTTTTTATTATCGTATGTTTAGAATGGTAAACTCGTCATTTACGAAAACGTGCGATCGATGTCAAAGCGTTTTACTAAACGCGATATGGGCAATCGAATTTAGAAAGCTATAAACAAATACCGAAAATTGGGAAACCCTACATGTATTTGTAATATTTCATCTGGCGAATTACGATATATGAATATGTATATTGAGATTTGAATCAGACATGAGTTTCCAGTAATTCTAACACTTTTATTGTTGTGTGATATTGAGTCACGTTTAACAAGAGTCAATTTAGAATATAAATATTCAATTATAAATTTCAAAACACAAATTTGCAAATACAGTATATTTAATTTGAATTATTTCATTTTTTTCACAGAATAAAAAGACATGCACCAAAAGAAGATGTTGCAGAAACACAGCTTAATATCTTTGTTGGTAATTTTTTTCATAATGTCAGAGGTGTACTCACAAGGTGATCCCTCTCCTCGGAACAGCCGACAAAACAACCACCAGTTAGACGAAAAAACGTATTATCACATCTTTGGGAAAAAAGATGGCTCGAATATGGGCCAAACGTACCTGAAGCTGAATCCAGACGAGCCAATGAAACAAGAGATGGAGTCCATAGAAAAAATATTGACAAAGATAGCCTTTTTAAACAAATTGTCAGCGGATCAAGGAAGTGCGAGTGATTCCCGGTCATCAAGCGTTAATCAGCATACGGAATCAAGACCCGATGAATATATTGCTAACCAACTCAGTGAGGGCGAAAAACTGCGATTGTATGATATTTTAAGGACCCTGTTGACACAAAAATAAATGATAAATGTTCGGCGAGTTAAAAAACGACAATTATCAATTAAACATGTGTGTATACTTTCTTCTCAAACACGTGTATTTATTTTATTTAAATAAAACCGTCACAGTAATTACAATTCCTCCATTAACTTTCAGATACATGCACTAAATATTGTTGTTGTTATTAATAACATTTTATCTTGATAAGAATAAAATTATTACCAATTACTTTAATGCGAATCTTACAGCACAACGAAAAGACAAAAGTACTAGTTTTATCAAACTTAAAAAATGCATGAATAATTAAGTTAATAAGATGAAATGCATAATGACATATTCACTATTATGTGGTAATCAGTATTGAATTTATAGTGATGTAGAAAATAATGTAATTAATGTGAATCATTGTTCTATGCTATTCATAAATACAATCAACTACTTTCCTTATTTACATATTTTATTACATAATAACATCTGTTTACTCTTGAATATGTTGTATGCTGTTGTACGTTCCATGAGAATTCTCAGCGTATTATTGTACAGGCGGTGTAATAACAAATAACATTGCTTTTGCTGTTTGTCGTTTAAAAAAACTAATTCAATTAGATTTGACATTACCATTAGAGACATAGTCAGCATGTTTCATTTTAAATTGTCAAAATATGTACATTTTCAGATCAAATCATATTATCAGATTAAATTCATAACCTACATTATACTTACATAATATGACTGTTGTTTACCAATAATTATTACGAATTATTGATTAGTTAAAATCTTCACTTGGAGTTATTAATGCTAATGTAAGTGTCTTAGTATAATGATGCAGCGATAATAATTCATATCATATCATATCATATCATATCATATCATATCATATCATATTATATTATATCATATTATATCATATCATATCATATACTGAAATACATTTCACTGTCTTTTAGCACATAACCTTACTTCTTCAGTTAGCAGCAACTATAAGAATTTATTATCGTTGACCTCGTCATCTGGTTATGCTATGTGAATAGATTTGGACGGAGTTTAAGGTGTCCACTTGAAAGCTAGGTGGTCGAATATATCTTTAATTAATATAGTATTTAATTTACCTTGTACACGTATTCATTATAGCATAACCTTCTTGGACTATTGATGTTACATAGCATTTCATGACGATGTGTTATATTATATATTTATATAAACGATTATGCTGAAACGTCATTCTCAATCGCAATATATATATGTTGTTTGCTACTCATATTAAGTTTAAATTGAATTACATACGATGTACATTGGAAATACCATACCAACTTTAGACAAAAGTCGTATAGGGAAATTTACAAGCCAATTTATTTGTTAAGTATCATTGAAATGAGTGCCCATTCCATTGCAGCTGAGAATAGAACCTCCAAACTTGTGAGCATACTTAGCATCATGTTCTTTTCACATTGTGATAAAACAGAACAAATCACACACACGACAACACAGTAAACTAATATAAATATCTGGAAAGGAAATCTAAATCCCATAAAAAGTAAGGTGATTTCTAAACAATATAAAAAGGGGGGAGCTGTGTAATTCTAACAATACTGAGAATGTAAATACCTGTTTACGTTTAAATGCATTTCAACTTAATTAAATTTAGTTCTCAGTTCAATAAGTACTCGCTTTGCTTTGTCTTTTGTTGTGCTATTGACGTCATCAATTTCCATACCGACTATTCCGGTCGTATATTGGAAACAATGCATGTTTCGGAGTTAGAAGTTGAAGTCGACTATTGTTTTAGTTGCTTTATACGGATGAATGTATTGCTATGATATTTGTAAAATTGTCAAATCTTGCCCAAAGAGGTAGATTGAAGCAAAACACTACACCTTTTTTCACTACTGATGTCATCTAGTGTTTTCCACCCATCGTGTTGAATCTCTTCGAGCTTACATTCCACTAATGACATTTATAAATGCATCGTGTATGTCGTATTATCTGACACTGAAACTGAAACTTTCAATTCTCACCACGTCTTTCAGTACTTATGAAGCGTCTTTCTGACTGTATGGTGCCGTCTGTAACAAACTATATTAAAAGCTCTTGGTGTGAATGTTTCAGTAGTTATTGATTCACTTATAATCCATGTGGATCTAGGATAAACATTTATATCATATATTGTCTTAGGACTTATCCTACCACGGAGTGTAACTTTATCAAAGAGTTATTCATGAATACAGTCTTATTGTCCCTCTTATTCGTTGTGGCTGTGTTTATTATCGAATGTGTGAACTGTCAGCAAAGGGTGATTCACATGATAATCACTTCATTCGCTATTGCGCGTAGTGATCATTTAAAGATAAACGTGAGCTAATTCAATACATTGCTGAACAATATATTGGTGTGAATGCTCCCGTCATAGGTTTTATCTAATATTTCACTTCATTTCGAAAAAAATATGCAAATAATTAAATACAACATGAGTCCCAACATGTTCTGTTACTTCAAAAAATGTATTTTATACATCTTCAATGCATTATTCAAAGGTTAAGTTGTAATATATGTCAAAGTCAATGTTAATGGTGACAATAATGACGTTAATAACATTGCATTGTTTGGAGTTGTACATGAATAAAAAGTTTACAAATTGTTTACACAAAGAACGTTGACAAGAATCCAGGAGCGGGCGAGACGTACCATGAAGAGATAACCGTCTACAATATAAGAATATTGCATTGTAATAAGACTACTAACGTACACTAAGTCGTTTCGAAGCAGCAGCTAATAAAACATAACAGAATTACAAGTAAGGTTAGGTAAATGCACAGGTAGCATTTGGGGAGTTTTGTTCATACAATACATGCGGCAAACATCTGAAGTGTAACTCGTAAATATGTTATCATAATGGCTTCATGTATTACATTTCAATATTGACATTGGTGTTAAAATTATCAAATATGCTCTACTTCTTGAAGGACACATATAGCTACTCATAGATGGATCACCAATGTCCTCATTTTACATAATATCGGTTATTCAGCTATTTTAACGTAAATTGGATTTCTGACTGTTAACGGCCTTCCCCGCGGGTGTTATTTAATTCCGATATTTTTTCAATATTCAGTGAACTCGACATTGATACGTGAGGTAAATATAATTTCCCCTGACAATCACGGATATTGGGGGACAACATGATCGCATTGATAAATGATGTTAGTGACAGATACGACAATACTATACCTTAACATATTAGCATCATGTTTTTACTGAATGCGAATCCGATGTTTCACTGTAGCTGTATGAGCTTGTATTTATCTACATAAATGTCGATTTCTACATGAATATAAATACGAAACGTTTATAAAGGCAACAGACAACATTGATTGGTCATATATAAGGTAACAAGTAGGTCAACAATTAATGCATAAACGAGCTGAAAACAACTGGTGTATTTGTACACTTACTACATATTGGTTATTACATATAGACAAGTGCATCAAAAATTCAGATACATCTGGTGTTGTAATTATTAAGCCAGTTCGTGTTCAAGTGGAGACAATTTTCAAGACGTCTTTTCCACATATCAGAATGATTCGTAAGTAGCTTCGGTACTACGTAGCGAAATCGACCGCAACTAGAAATGAGAGCTGTAAACAGTTTCTCTCTGATGCTAAAATAGCCTTACGCTAGTAGAATTTGTTCCGCTACTAGCAACTGCTCCTCTCTGGTAGCAAAACAGCTTTACGTTACTAGCAACTACACCTTTCTAGTAGCGAAACAGCATTATGCGACTAGCAACTGCTCCTCTCTGGTAGCAAAACAGCTTTACGCTACTAGCAACTACTCCTCTCTGGTAGCAAAACAGCTTTACATTACTAGCAACTACTCCTTTCTAGTAGCGAAACAGCTTTACGCTACTAGCAACTGCTCCTCTCTGGTAGCAAAACAGCTTTACGCTACTAGCAACTGCTCCTCTCTGGTAGCAAAACAGCTTTACGTTACTAGCAACTACTCCTCTCTGGTAGCAAGACAGCTTTACACTACTAGCAACTGCTCCTCTCTGGTAGCAAAACAGCTTTGCGCTACTAGCAACTGCTCCTCTCTGGTAGCGAAACAGCTTTACGCTACTAGCAAATACTCCTCTCTGGTGGCGAAACAGCTTTACGCTACTAGCAACTACTCCTCTCTAGTAGCGAAACAGTTTTACGCTACTAGCAACTGCTCCTCTCTGGTAGCAAGACAGCTTTACGCTACTAGCAAGTGCTCCTCTCTAGTAGCAAAACAGCTTTATGCTACTAGCAACTGCTCCTCTCTGGTAGCGAAACAGTTTTATGCTACTAGCAACTGCTCCTCTCTGGTAGCAAAACAGCTTTACGCTACTAGCAACTACTCCTCTCTAGTAGCGAAACAGCTTTACGCTACTAGCAACTGCTCCTCTCTGGTAGCGAAACAGTTTTACGCTACTAGCAACTGCTCCTCTCTGGTAGCAAGACAGCTTTATGCTACTAGCAACTACTCCTCTCTGGTAGTGAAACAGCTTTACGCTACTAGCAACTGCTCCTCTCTGGTAGCGAAACAGCTTTACGCTACTAGCAACTACTCCTCTCTAGTAGCAAAACAGTTTTACGCTACTAGCAACTGCTCCTCTCTGGTAGCAAGACAGCTTTACGCTACTAGCAACTGCTCCTCTCTAGTAGCGAAACAGCTTTATGCTACTAGCAACTGCTCCTCTCTGGTAGCAAGACAGCTTTACGTTACTAGCAACTACTCCTCTCTAGTAGCGAAACAGCTTTACGCTACTAGCACCTGCTCCTCTCTGGTAGCGAAACAGTTTTACGCTACTAGCATCTGCTCCTCTCTGGTAGCGAAACAGCTTTACGTTACTAGCAACTACTTCTCTCTGGTAGCAAGACAGCTTTACACTACTAGCAACTACTCCTCTCTAGTAGCGAAACAGCTTTACGCTACTAGCAACTGCTCCTCTCTGGTAGTGAAACAGCTTTACGCTACTAGCATCTGCTCCTCTCTGGTAGCGAAACAGCTTTACGTTACTAGCAACTACTTCTCTCTGGTAGCAAGACAGCTTTACACTACTAGCAACTACTCCTCTCTAGTAGCGAAACAGCTTTACGCTACTAGCAACTGCTCCTCTCTGGTAGTGAAACAGCTTTACGCTACTAGCAACTGCTCCTCACTTGTAGCAAAACAGCTTTATGCTACTAGCAACTGCTCCTCTCTGGTAGCGAAACAGCTTTACGCTACTAGCAACTGCTCCTCTCTGGTAGCAAAACAGCTTTACGTTACTAGCAACTACTCCTCTCTGGTAGCAAGACAGCTTTACGCTACTAGCAACTGCTCCTCTCTGGTAGCAAAACAGCTTTACGTTACTAGCAACTGCTCCTCTCTGGTAGCGAAACAGCTTTACGCTACTAGCAACTGCTCCTCTCTGGTAGCGCAACAGCTTTACGCTACTAGCAATTACTCCTCTCTGGTAGCAAGACAGCTTTACGCAACTAGCAACTGCTCCTCTCTGGTAGCAAAACAGCTTTATGCTACTAGCAACTACTCCTCTCTAGTAGCAAAACAGCTTTACGCTACTAGCAACTGCTCCTCACTTGTAGCAAAACAGCTTTATGCTACTAGCAACTGCTCCTCTCTGGTAGCGAAACAGCTTTACGCTACTAGCAACTGCTCCTCTCTGGTAGCAAAACAGCTTTACGCTACTAGCAACTACTCCTCTCTGGTAGCAAGACAGCTTTACGCTACTAGCAACTGCTCCTCTCTGGTAGCAAGATAGCTTTACGCTACTAGCAACTACTCCTCTCTGGTAGCAAGACAGCTTTACGCTACTAGCAACTGCTTCTCTCTGGTAGCAAAACAGCTTTACGCTACTAGCAACTGCTCCTCTCTGGTAGCGAAAAAGTTTTACGCTACTAGCAACTGCTCCTCTCTGGTAGCGAAACAGCTTTACGCTACTAGCAACTACTCCTCTCTAGTAGCAAAACAGCTTTACGCTACTAGCAACTGCTCCTCTCTGGTAGCGAAACAGTTTTACGCTACTAGCAACTGCTCCTCTCTGGTAGCGAAACAGCTTTACGCTACTAGCAACTACTCCTCTCTAGTAGCGAAACAGCTTTACGCTACTAGCAACTA